GCGGAGATAGAGTAGCAAATCGTGGTCAGGGGTTCTATCGAATCTTACCCAAGCGAATAAAGTCTTTCATAGCCTCGCACACGATCACTTCGTACCAAATTCGACTAGAAGGATTAAGTCCTGTACGCGTGATCGCCGCAAGTCACCATAAGCGAAAATGCATTCCAAGATTGCTAGAATTTCAGAAAAAAATCCCCCGAGTTACATCAGCAAGATTTATGAGCATAAATGCACATTGATTGGAAGAAACTTTCCCCAACCGATCTTTTTTCATCAATTTATATCCAATTCGAATCAGTGATATGCATTTTCTCACTCTCATTGAAAAAATCGAGGAGAAACACTTGCATAATTTAATTTTCATTCAGTCACATAGGCTGCGAATACAATGTTCACTTCACACCTTTCTTATTTGGGAGATCGTGTGTTAACACGTGGGTTTCGATGCTGTATCCGTGTGCAAAAACAAAAACTGCTTTTAGGCAAGCGCTACACTTGAATGGGGCTGAAAGAGTCAGAGATGCCATAGCGTGCACTGCACACCGCTGGGCGAGCTCAAGAAATGCACATACTTGGTGAGTTCAAACATATGAATTCAAAAAGACATAGGTCAGAAGTCGAACAAACCTTGAATTTCCGCAGCTGCATTTCCGCGGGTATTATCAAAACAGAAAGGAAAAAAGGAAAAGTAAAGGTTTTTCACGAACACTCGAGAAACAACCAAACACTTCGGTTAAAATCAGTGAAACTCACAATCATCAACTGGTAGGTATTTGTCATATGCGTCAATCGGCTGTCGTGATAGCACATCACCACAGACTGGGTGAGTAGCTGCACGTGCTATAACATAACATTATGCGACGTAAGACGTTACATGAAATAGCCTAGAGATAAAACACAGGACCCTGAAAAATTTTCGCGACAAAATTCCCAGAGAGAGATCCGCGCGGCGAGCAGAAAACGGGAGAAAGTGTCCCTGCTATGCTGTGATGTACGGCCGATACTCTGATGAACTCAGGGTCACTGAAGGCAAAAGCAAAGAATTGGGATGGTAAGCTGAGTAGCGTGGATGGACCCATAAGAGCGAGCATAAGTATGAAAGAAGAAACAATACACAAGAGAAAAAGATGATATTCAGGTGGACATTTCCACCTAACCCTTTAATGGGATTTCTTAAATGAACTGCAACGAATAACGAGAACGAATTGTTAAACGGCAAATGCTAAGATGCATCATAGAGTTACTAGCTGTCTCGGTCATCTATGATGACCTTAGACACCTGATCGGTGAGCTTACTTTCGAGGTATAATCATACCAAAAAGGCACTATTTCCGCAGAGCGGTAATCTAGAATATATCTCCCGCAGAGCTTTCTATACGTACAGCTAGATACGAACAGTGACCACCCACGAAAACACAATACGAATAAATAGTGAAAGATGAGTCTATGAGAGAGCCTCAGCCGGCAAACAAGAGCACTGGATGAAGCGCATAACCTAGTGGGCACCGCGACTTTGAAACTTCAAAATGAAGCCAGTCATATTCGGGAAAAGCTACACTTAGCTAGTGAACTGACACCCATGCATAGAGAAAACGCCACAGTAGCTCTGCTAAAAATTCCATATGAGTGCAGAGTCAACCAAACAGGCTTATCCTCTGCTCCATTATAATATTTCAAAATAAGGAAGTGAGGGCGAACATTTACTTTAAGAAGCTAAGTT